GTGTGTGTGTGTGTGTGTGTGTGTGTGTGTGTGTGTGTGTGTGTGTGTGTGAGTGTGTGCGTGCGTGCGTGCGTGCGTGCGTGCGTGCGTGCGTGCGTGTGTGTGTGTGTGTGTGTGTGTGTGCGTGCGTGTGTGTGTTTGCGTGGGATAATGGATAAAAAACATTACCTGCACCGGGCAGATGCCCCGGTTTTATCGTGGTACAATTTAATGTGAGACCTCATTCCCTTTTTGTGCACCTGAAAAGAAAAACAAACTCAAAAATGTTGCTTCTCAACATCGGTCTGCACAACACCATGGACCAATACATGAAGAGGACTGTTTATTCTCCATATTGCATATCTTAATTCTGAAAAATTTCAATTACAGCCCTACCGCTTTACTGAGTCGGATCCTGCTGAGGTAGATGCGCGTTGCTGCAGGGGTAAGGGCTAAGGGCGGACACACGAGATAATTTCAACAAGATTTTTCTGACGATATTCAATAGGTCAATTGAAAAAAGTGCCAAATGGCTTGTCTATTCATTTTAATTATCAAAAAACATTACAGAATACTAAAAAAACAGACCTCAAAAGTCATTCATCTCCTAGTTTGCCACCTTTAGAAGTGAAACATTTTCTTCAAATTTTAATGGGACCACATCCGAGGTACCATCTTTCCAACAAAAAAAAAGAAACTCCGGCCGGAGTTATCGCGTAACATACATACAAAAAAAAAATAGTCGAATTGAGAACCATTTTATGATTTCTGATTTAGATTTCTAATATATGGAAAAAATACTTCCCGCGGTAGCCACTAGGGGCCTTATGAGCGGATGACTATATTCGTTATGTATAAGGTACTCTTTGGTATTACATAAGTTGTTATGAAACAGTGCCTACTAAATGAGGTCAATTGTTGAATTGACCTAATTTAATAGGCACTTTTTCAATCAAGTTATTATTGGAATCTTGTTGAAATTATCCCGTGTGCAGCGCGAAATAACTATTATGTAAACTAACACTCCTCTCATGTCACGCTACAACCTCAAGAACCGACTCAGTTAAACGGTCAAAATCCCGTCTTATAATAACGCACACACTCAACATAGCCCCGCACTAGGGAAACCCTGTGTCGCGGGTGCCATGGACACACACATAGACAACCACAAATACACTCAAACTCACGAGAGAAATAAATGTAGGCCATACAAATGTTTCTCCCGGCCCGGGAATGGAACCTGGGACTTCTGCGTAACCGTTCGGCCACGGAGGCATCACCATCATATCAAACGGAAGACGTCCACTGCTGAACATAGGCCTCCCCCAAAGATTTCCAGATCAGCCGATCGGATGCGACGTGCTTCCATCGGTTACCCGCCGCCCTTACCAGGTCATCCGTCCAACTAGTAGGGGGTCGTCCCACTGAACGTCTTCCGGTTCGTGGTCTCCATTCAAGAACCTGTCTGCCCCAACGGCCGTCAGTTCTACGAGCTATGTGCCCTGCCCACTGCCTCTTCAACTTTGGTTCTTCTACGGATCTCCTCATTTCTGATTCGATCACGTAGAGAAATGCCGTGCATTGCTCGCTCCAAGCTCGTTGAGTGACTTTGACAGAGGCAGCTAATAAGCAATAAAAGAAGTAACAGTGATTTGGGACGAGAAAGAGAAAACAATAAAGAGAGAGATAGAGATTACCGTTTTGCCGCAGAGTTCGCACAAGGAGTATCCAGTGATAGGCTTGTACATTAGCCCTTTGTGTACTGTACGCATGTGTGAGGAGTACTCCATATGGCTGCTGAGCTGGACATCACACTGCAACATACCGTTAATTCAATTTCAAATATCTTTCGTCATAAGCGAGTCACCAAACTTATTGTGGGTTACTGGTGTAACCCAACAAGTGCAATAGTACGGCCGGAAAGGTATCGAACCCAGGACGTAGTGGCCAGTGGGTCGACACTTCATAGAACGGGGACGTGAAGCATCCTCTTCACTGGAAATAAATCCATATTTCCTGTGTACTATGGCCTGTAGTCGATTAAAAGACTTCCTTGAGAAATGTATGCGATTCATTGCCATCTAAAAAATAATAGTTTTTTATTCATCATCTTCTTGTTTTAAAAACTACGGCTCCATCGAAATAAACGATGATTTCGCCAATGTCAAGTAAAAATTACTATGTGCGGTAGTTTTGAAAAGATATGGCTTCTACTTTATGATCTCTTATCGGTAAACCCGCCAATGCCAAGTTGAAGAACGTACGCATTTTTAACTCAAAGATTGACCGGTAAATTCCGACAAGATTCACTGAGAAGAGTATCTACAACAACAGAGTACATACACAGACTATTACAAAAACAAATTGTTGTTTTTAATAAACTTACACAGGACATAGACAAAGGAAGAATGGACTAACGTTAAGAGGAAGTTGATATTGGCACTAATGTCAGAAATGGCACATCAGTGTTAAACAGTCAAAGTCGGCGTGTTTTAAAAAGTTCTAAGGAACAGTTTCTTTTGAAAGTTGTCGTTACAAATTAGTACACGTGGTGTTTATTTTGCGGTTTATGTTATGTCGTATATTGCCCGTTGTAGTATCGATGTTTTGTTCACAGCTGTAGACGGGCGACCACCACGAAATTCATCACTGAGATTCATACGACCGCGTTTGAATTCTGCAAACCAGCTGTAAATATCGAGTTCTTAGGTTTTCGCGATTGTTACACATAGGAAATGAAACTATTTTTCCGGATTTAAATCTGTAAATAGTCGTCTTGCATGGTGCTTCATCGCCAAAAGCAGTTTGAAGTCGAGGGAAGCTAAGCTGAGCTGTTAAATTGTACTTAAAGTCGAAGAAAATCATACTACGAAAATTTTCACGCGTTAAATCCATGGTGATGTAGACAACCAATTTCTAAAATGACGCCACAATGTAAAAATAAGTGACAGTCAGATGAAACAAACTGTATTCTACAGCCAAAGAGTTCCATTTTCAAATGTTGTAATTACTTTTTAAATATTATTTATCTAAATGGCCAGTTCCGGAAACTTATAGTGTGCCCTATGTACTAATTAAGTAAACCAGTATCTGTGCTAATGATCTATCACAATATTTCGAATTGAAGACGAATAATTGGAATACACGCCTGTAACCATAGTGTGAGACCTTAATTCAAGATTTCCGCCATCCTGCTCCCTATGATAATGTGAATTCCTGACAATGAGGCGCTATGTATAAGGACCAAAGCGCAAAATCACAATTTTACAGGAGAGTCCAAACTTTCAATCTAGTATATTTTCAAGATTTCCTTGTATTTCGAGGTTTCCTTGAATATGTTTGTTTTTTTTTTTAACGCTATCTTATAGATTATAATGAAATGAAGCATTTCCTACAAAAAAGTGAAAATGATCAAATTGTTAGTTTGGCCCTTATACTTGAGTGTCGGAAGACCGATTTTCCGTGTTTTCGAAATTCGTTTATCTGTTTTGGGTGTATAAAGTACTTACATAGCAGCAGGGTTTCGGGTATATGACTTTTGGGAAAGTTTGATAAGGTCGTTTACACATGTGAGCCTCTCGTTGGTCCACACTGTCGAAAAGTTGTCTACATAATGCACACCCATTTCTGAAACACAATACCATAAAAAATATTTTTATTGACCACAATTACAAAACATAGAGACAAATGACAGTGGGATTACATTTATTTACCAAGTTTTATTGAAATCGGTTACCGGAAAGTGCGCGAAACCGGATCCATCCCCTAATTTGCCACCTTTAGAGGTTGAATGTTTCCTTCAAATTTAAATGGAACCAATATTGAGGTACACTCTTTCCAACAAAAAAGAGTCATCAAAATCGGTTTATCCTCCTTTTTTTTTGAAGTCATATGGAGGAGGTTATCGATTCGACTATTTTGTGTGTGAAGTCGTTATCCGAGACTTCGACTGCATGAAGTTGATACTTAATATTAATAATTAATAATGGTTCGTTACGCCTTCACGCACATACTGCAAACATGCAATGAACCTGTTAGCAGCCTTAGGATGGCAAATAAGGGAACGAATCCCGTGGCATGTAGGTGTAATTCCACAACTTTTGAATTCGGATTATACATATATTGTACCTTCGACAATAAAGTAAGTAAGACCAAACCCGAAAAGTAATTTTTGAAAAACTGATAAATTCATCATAATCATCAAATCAACACAAACACAAAACAATACAGCCGAATTGAGAACCTCCTCCTTTATTGAAGGCGGTTAAAAATAATTTTTACGACATACACGATTTTATCTTGATAATATTCATTCTTGACAAAATTAGTTTTTTTTTTTATATACCAAGTGACGGGACCAGCAAGTCGTGCGTCTGGTGGTAAGCGACACGCCTGCCCATAACAGTTGCAGTGTTACTCAGAGCTTTAAATCATAAAGATCTGGGGGCACCGCCACTGCGCCCGTCATCCTGAGACATAACGTCCACTAACTAAAACGTGGCTAAGCGACAAAATAATATTTTGAGATATCATTTAAAATCTTAACCCAGTTTTAGAATATTGAAATTGTTTAATGGTATTTCAGCTTTCCTTTGTTAGGGTAAGTTCCGATTAGTTGAACACGTTAACTAATTTTTAAAGAGAATTTTGTGCTCTAACTTTTTCCATTTGAAATGGATATTTCGACCCCTCCTACATAAAGTATCGTATATCGAAATTGCCAAGTTTACAGGGGAGCGTTTTAAAGTTTTAAATTCACTGAAAAGAATATAATACGTGACTTTAGCATTTCTCAGTCTTATTCGGCAAAGCTCGTTCCTTTAAAACTCGTTCTCGAAGTGAAGTTGTTTTTCAACTATGACTTGTCTATGGTTGCATAGTGCTGTACGAAAACAAAAAACATTCGGTTCATTCAATTGAAATTTTTGTAATCGATTAGTAAGAGTATAATAATTATAAATAATAACGCTCACAATCAACATAGCCCCGCACTAGGAAACCCTGTGTCGCGGGTGCCATGGACACACACATAGACAACCACAAATTACACCCAAACTCACGAGAGAAATGAATGTAGGCCATACAAATATTTCTCCCGGCCCGGGAATCGAACCTGGGACCTCTGCGTGGCAGTCCGGCATAGTAACCGTTCGGCCACGGAGGCAGTTAATAATCGACTATTTCAATCGCAATCGAACGAGTATCTAAGTGTAAGGATTTGAAAGACGATTAAAAATTAAGATTTTGGAAATTTTAAATATCGTCGCTTAGCAAACAACACCGCTCAAGTCGAAAAATAGCGATTTTTACTTCTGAACTTTATGCGTTACTCAAATCCAAATAAAACATGAATATCAATAAAAAATTTACAACCAACTCATATACAATTATGTGTCCATAAATAGAGCACTTATTACATTAGACAATCTTGTGTATCGAGTTCTTAGGTTTTCGCGATTATTACACATAGGAAATGAAACTATTTTTCCAGATTTAAATTGCGTATATTTGTTTTTTCAAACAAACCGATGTTTCGGGCTCATTATAGGTTTTTTCACGCTACTTTAAAATTACTTGATCGATGTTGTTTGCTAAGCGACGATATGTTTATATAGGTACCTAATAACTGCCTCCGTGGCCGAACGGTTACCATGCCGGACTGCCACAGAGGTCCCGGGTTCGATTCCCGGACCAAGAAAAATATTTGTATGGCTTACATTTATTCATCTCGAGAGTTTGGGTGTAATTTGTAGTTGTCTATGTGTGTGTCCATGGCACCCGCGACACAGGGTTTTCCTAGTGCAATGTAAGAAAAACCGCTAGTAACGCTAGTAAAGTAATTTATAAGAATAACTGATTCAACATGTGTATAATTATTTACAATAAATTATCAAACGAAATTAAATTGTTACAAGGCCATACTTTTAAATTAAAATTGACAATATGGCTTTTGACACATTGCTTCCATAGTAATAAAGAATACTTAGAATTCACAAATTCATTACATTAATTAGAAACTATAGAGACTAAACATTGAATCCCATTAATATTTGCCCATCTGCTTGCAGGTTGAATACAATGTACCTAATTTTACTTAAGACCTTTGTAATTACTGTATTCTGGCAAATAAAGGTATTCTATTCTAGTATGACTGAACTGAACAAATCGATTCATTCAATTAATTAATCGATTCGTAGTTGGCATTGCAATTGGCCATCACTAGACCGCCAATGGTCGGGTCAGTGACTTGTTTGTTTAAAATGAATTGAAACGAAATACAGATATTTATACTCACGGAATATCCTTAGCTTCGTCGTGTCCGAGCTTCACTACGTGTTTTTGGTATGCTTTCTCGTCGACGAAAAAGACGTTGCAGTGGACGCAAACGTATCTGGGATCGCCGAGCTCATGGTGATTCAGTCTCTGCAATAATATTGCAATTTAAAAGACAAATTTATTTCATTTTATGGACCAATACATATAATTTTAATTAACAATTTCCCTCCTACTCGTTTATTAGATCTTTTATTACAAACAACTTCTACATTTAGTACCTCTCATTGGTTCTGACTGAAAACCAGCACCTTAGGCATATGGACAAGTATAGCTTACCATCAAGCGCACGACTTGTTCGTTCCTTCACTTGACATTGTAAAAAAAAATAAAAAAGATATTGATGAACATTATGAGAAAACAGAAAATAAAAAACTATGACTATATAAACTATGAAACATAACATGATTGTCATAGCTGTGAAACGGCGCTGACTCAGCATATGCCGAAATTTCCTAAGGCGCTGGTTTGCAGTCAGGGCCAACGAGAGAGATTAAGTTATTTGAAAGCAAAAATATAAATACTATGCGTAGTTATAAATTGAGATAATATACACAGTAAAGTGTAAATAATGCATCTAAAATACCCTTTTAGATATGCAAGTGCATGAGCGAATGTGAATATAATTACAGATGTAGGTGTAAATTGTGATTGTAGATAGGTTTTAGTTTTGTATAACGTATTATTAAATATATATAATGTATACATATAATGTGAATAGATTAAAGCAAAAACAAAATTGGATTGTAGACAGACCACGGAAAAGAATACAAAGACACTATACTTCGTTTCAAACCATTTTAAACAAACAAGTCACTGACCGGACCATAGACGGCTTAGTGATGGCCAATTTTATTGCCAACTACAAAACAATTAATTAATTGAATGAATCGATTTGTTAAATTGAGTCATACTAGCGGTTTTCATTAGATAATCTATAAAAAGCATATTTGAAATTTCATAAATCTTAATTTTAAATCCTCCTTCACATCCTTACACTTAGATAGTCGTTCGATTGCGATTGAAATTATTCCGTGAAATTTTATCGATTTACTAATCGATTACAAAAACTTTAATTGAATGAACTGATTTTTTTTCCGTACAGCACTATGCAACCATACACTATTCATACATCTTTAATTAAAAAATAACCTCACTCTTTGACTACCATTTTTCAAATACGATTTTACGATGATATTCAAATGAATATTATTGGAAATATACGTGAGTGTTACACGCTTATTCGATTTATTGAGTGATTGCTTTAGAAGTTCAACCAAACCGTTTTGTTTACATTTCGTTTGAAACGGATTGGAACAGACTATACACAGATTTTCGAAATGAGAGTAGGTGTCGCCAGTACAGTGTTTTGAATTTGAGCTTGTATGCCTCGTTCCGTATAGGTGGTGGAATATTATTTACTTATTTACTCATTCACTCACTCACTCATTTACTCACTTACTTATTTATTTATTCATGGAAAACCAACAGCTTCTTACATTTAATAAAAACAGGAACATAAACATAAAGCCAATTCCAGGTTTCCACCTATAGCTTCAGACAAATCATACACGAGCATTAACCAAACGAACAATGAACAGCATTTCTTAACAATCATGCACTTACATAAATATAACAACCCAATACCTGCGCTAATATAAATAGAATGTCCGTGAGTTTACGCTTTAGCGCATCAACATTACAATTGAATATATCAAGATCCAGGTCATGATTGTTCAGCACACTAACCAAGTTCTTGCTAGTTCTACATAGAAAACTATTTTGTCTATAGTTAGTCCTCGCTAAGGGAACTCCAATATGGTGATAGTGTCTCATAGAACGAGTAGGAACAATAAACGAAATATCACCCAATAATAATTATTCCACACTTATTATAGATATTTTAATGGCACTTACAAAGTACTCATGGACGCCAAGCTGGTGTCGGTAAAGCTTGAATGTAGATGAGAAAGAATCGCCGCATTCGTTGCAATGCTTGTTATGGTATTTATCGTAGTGCTTTGGCTTCATGTGTGACGGCACTCCACTATTCAGCCTGAAATTAATTGTAATCATCGAGTTGTTTTCGCGATAGTTACAATTTGGATAAGGTGTGCACGAAAGCACTTCTCATGCTCTAAAAGTGCGGATAGCCTCAGTGTGCGTCCACACTGCCAGCCTAGTGCGGTTGCGACGACGGGCGCTAAGTATCAAACATATCACAATAGTTTTATAACTCAAAATATGTTAAATTCAAGATTATACCGTTACTGAACGTAAAAATTGATTCTCTACATGTCAATAAAACCGCAGTTAGAATTTGTAAAAAACAACAATCTACTTAACTCAAAATGAGACACGCTTTATGTGAGCTAGTTCTGGCTAAAATAGTCCTTATTCAAAAATATGAAATTATTTTTTCTCTTTTATTTTTAAACATATTTGGCAAGTAGGAAATTGTCTGTACATACATACATTTTAATACAACCTATACATACATTTTAATTATCATTCACAGGAAGCGAGTAACTCTTTTTTCGTCGATTCTTAGAAAATATTATTTTTTAGTTAATACACTATGGTATTAGTAGTGCGATATGAAACCGCCGTTTACGTCCATAGTGTAGTGACTACGGCTCGAGCGAGATAGCACGCGTAGTTTTCAAACGTTCCTATCCGCGCGTTATGGCCGCACTACGAGCCTAGTTCATTTTTGTCGCTCGTATTGCGCAAAGTTGCGAAAGTTTGTATCTTCTCTGGTGATTTTAAGTGATATTTTATTCAATACGTAGTTAAATACTGCCACGGGCATTCGAGTGTACTTAAAGAATTTTATAGGGTATAATTTCAATTCTTCATACACATTAAAAAAATTACCACTCATTTCTAGGTTTTTATTTATTTCGTGCACAACATCTCTTGTGTTCAACACCTCCCGTCTCAGAATAGGAGTATCTAGTAAAAATACCAAATCCTCGTCCATGATTGATAACACCTGAAATACGTCTCAGCGGTACAACAGCTCGCACGTCACTGTGGCCGCTCGTACGCCCGCGCCGTCGCGCCCACCACAGTCCCTGGTTACGCGCATTTACTGTGGACGAACACTTACGTAGCGGCAGTGTCCAATCTGACTTATCGAACAAGGATATCGAACGCGACTGAACATAATCATAAATTAATTACGACTGAGACAATGACAATAATTTTCATTTATATGTCCTATTAATTCGACGCGGACGCCACTCAGCCAATCAGAGCTCTTGAATTGCTCATTATTGCTCTGACCGGCCAGTCGCGTACGGCCGTCCGTAACAGGCAGTAAAGAGCATCCTTTATACCCTAGAGAGTAAAAAGTACCTAATTTTTTAATTTACTTCGAGTGAACAAACTGAAATAGCCAGTAGTACGCTCGGTTATAGTTCCGCGCCTTTTCCGCATAGACGGTGGCGCCATATTATTTCCACGCGTTAGTGCGTTTGTTGTATCTCAGACTGGTTGAAAAAAAAAATAACGCGAAAACTTCTACTACTAATTCTGTTGTAGAGCGAAAACGATAATTTTTTTTTGTCGGAACCGAAGTGAAAAGTAAAGTTTTCACCTCGAGACTAAAAGCAAATATAAACATTCGGAGTAATAAACATCCACGTTGAAGCTCAGGTTCTAACCACCTCAGGTATATATTGGCTCGTTTTAGTCCCTATATAAAAAATATACTATTAGAACTCATAAAAAATGTATATTGTCTAAATAAATAATTACATTATTATTATTACAAAAACTTAAACTCACTTGACTTTCTTACCGCAAAATTTGCAAGTAAACCATTCGTTGCTCTTGTCTAGTCCACATAGGTTATGCACCTTATGATAGACAGCTTGTTTCCTGTAGGGGGAACACGTAAATAAATAAAACATTATTGAAAATATGTACTGAAATAAACTTAAAATATGTGTGTCATATCTACTCGATGGTTGTCATTAAAACGATTCTAGCACTACCTACCACCTACAGTAGAACCACAGAATGATAAATACAGTAGAAGTGGTTGGTTAGCGTCTGACACGTGCCAACTACAGGTCTCGAAAGACCTATGTGAGTTCAGTCCGTCATTTTCGCTTTGTATGGTACGGTTGTGTCAATCTTTCGTGCAAATTCTCTAAAATCCTAGAAAAAGGCCTTATTGTGCCGTTTTAGAAGTGAGAAAATGATAGCTGCACCAAACATATTTCCCATGGTGGTATTTTACATTCTTGCAATAATAATAGGTATTCATTATACAGTGTGTTAGGGCACGCACTGTACGAACTTTAAGGGGGTGTTTAGTATTCAATATTATGTGAAAAACACTAATACATGTGGGGTCAAAACTCGACTCCCTAGGAATGGCAGCCATTTTGATTTTTTATACTTAGTTTGCTAAACGTTTGTTCTAAAATTATCATATTATGAGAAGTAAAAGCAGTACGAACATAAAAAATATTTTTTCGGAAAGCTAAGATTAGCGGCAATTGAATAAAATATCTGTCATGTACATAAAAAAGTGAGGGATTACCTAATAAAAATAATGAATGTAAATTTTTACCAAAAAAAACTGCCAAAAAAACTAAGTTTTTGTAATTTAATCCTAAAATAACCAAATTAAGGTACTGTTTTTATGTATGAATTTTAAAGTATTTCAGCTGTTCTTGAAAACACGACAACGGAGTTGAGTTTTGACCCCACATGTATTAGTGTTTTTAGAAAGAAAGAAAGAAAGAAAGAAACATTTATTCAGTACCTTTAAATTATATGTACATAAAAATAATTTAAAAACTAAAATTACTGATACTGAATGGGCACCGCTCAGCATGTGCCGTGGCTGAGAACAGCCACGTCGCTGGTATTATGCGGAGCCCAGGGAGTGCGTCACAGGCGCACTAAACTAATACTACAAAAACATTGACTTATTTAAATTCGCAATATGCGTACAAAGAATTTATGATGCGACAAAATGTGTGATGCTTAACTATATCTATACCTATTGTTAATTTATTTATAATTTATTTATAATTAATTGATAATATTATGTTATGTATGCAAACACCATTCAACTATCAAACAAACTTAATTATATATAAAAAGAAAAGAAAAAACTACTTATTTCCCAACTATAAAGTTGGAACTGATTGCAAAAAGTATAACCGAATTAGGCCACATATACATTTCACATAATATTGAATACTAAACACCCCCTTAAAGTTTGTACAGTGCGTGCCCTAACACACTGTATTGAACTTTCAACGATATGCCAACAGGGTAAAGTTTAAAGTATATTAACAATCCAGAATTTGTTATTTCTTTTGAAATTTGAAACTACGACCAATCATTATCAAGTTTTTGTACTGTTTGTAATTAAGAATGTGTGAGTTTTGGCGACACCGGTTCTGATACTAATCGAGGCATACGGCACTTCCATCGTTTCTTTCTTCCGTGAGTAGAAAAAACACCGAGCACTGGGGCCATCTTGAGCAGTTGTCACTCACGTGTTTGGTGAACGTTATTTCGAATCTTAATTAATAATAGCCATCCTTTATTGTTTCCTTCAGTTAGTGATTGTGAAATAATAATAATAATAATAGTAATAACGTTTAAAATACCGTTTAAAATAACGTTTTAAATAGTAATTAAGTTTATCATTTCCTAAGTTTAAAAACTACATTAAAAACATTTTGATCGAAAAATCATATTACAAAATTGAAGACTACGTGTTAGATAAAGATGTATGGAAAGACGACATGGCTCCAGAATCCACACAAATTTGATTCAAAGTGTATTCCATAGCATTTAAGTTTATTTGAAAAGAGCAATCCCTAGAGTTTCTTGCTCGTTCTTCTCAGGGAGGTCAGCGTAGTGAACGAGCAGTAGCTTAAGTGTGCCGTTTTCAAGTGTAAATTTATTTTACCTATGGAATAAATAATCTTTGACTTTGACTTTGAAAACGCATACTCAACATAGCCCCGCATTGGGGAAACCCTGTGTCGCGGGTGCCATGGACACACACATAGACAACCACAAATTACACCCAAACTCACGAGAGAAATAAATGTAGGCCATACACATATTTCTCCCGGCCCGGGAATCAAACCTGGAACTTCTGCGTGGCAGTCCGGCATGGTAACCGTTCGGCCACGGAGGCAATTATTGTTAAATTACTCGTAAGAATAATAAGAGAAGTAATTAAGATAACCCTGATTTTACTGAGATATCATTACCCCCCTCGATAATACACGCCTAACAAAAAAAAAATGGAAAACCACTCTGATATAAACATGAGCGTCGCGCCGGCGCGCCGCCGCCGCCGAACTTTTTCCTCGCGCCGCCAACGCCGACAAATGCAATTGGCGCGTCGTTCAGTTCGATCAGGCGCTCCGATCGTACTCACGCGCACGCTTCCGTATTGTGTATGTGAAAATGGCGACGCCAGAAAATGACTTTTCTAAGATAACTTTTTTTTTATAAAATGTAAGTTTTTCATTTGACCTCCATCTCACCTGGTGGAAAGTGACGATGAAGTCGACGATGGATGAATGCCTATTCACTTTCGCCGTGAAAAGGTTATAAATTGGTATAACGTTCAGGGAACAAGTCTGCAGGCAGGGAATTTCAACCCAAAGCCGTTCGCCATATAAATGTGGAACCGTAACGCTTCGTGCGAATCTTTGGATTATCCACAACATACAGATGGAACCCAAGTCTACGCCTAGTTCCCCGGTGGAAAGATGGAAAGGGGAAGGCGGAATTAAATCGTATAATTCCATCGCACACTCTCCATGATGTATCCTGTAAAATTCAGATAAGCTGGCAACTTTACGGCGGTGTTGAAGGCTCTGGAGCTTCGCCTCCACTAATTCCGAGTCACCTATAAGCTTCTTGGCACGGTTATCAATTGAATCCAAGGTGGCCAGTTGATATCTAGCAGAACCATCCTAAAGGTGGCAGCAGTACTCCATGCACGACCGGATTTGTGCTTGTTACAGCTGAAGCAACTGTCCCGGTGTGTGTGTCCCTATCTACTGAGCCGAGAGATAGGGTTTTCCGGAGAGACTACGGGCTCTACGGCAAGACCAGGGTACAGCGGGCGGTCGGACCAAGTCCTCCGCCAATCATACGCCTTTACTTTACTTGGGTATGGACTCGCTGAGGTTTGTGGTGGAGACGGACATGTTTGTCTGCCCCGGTTGCAAGTGTCCAGAGCGTCCGTCTCGTGAGCAGCTAGCGCGTCTAACAGCGGTCTAGTTGCACGTTTGCAAGCTTCCACGACCTGGGAACTACACCAGTCTCAGTAAGTGAGAGGCGGTACAGGCGTAGGCGTGTGAGACCAGGAGACAACTCAGGCGCACAGTTACGTAAGACTAGTACTGGGATTCCATCTGGCCTGCTAGCTTTATTCACGTCTAGATTACACAGAGTTCTAAGTACCTCTTTTTGGCGTAAGCGAATTTGCGCCATAGTGCAGCCAGCCTGAGGTAAGATTAGATTCAGACAAAAAGATTTGCCTTGTCTTCTGCAATGTAGACCAGCGTGCCGTCCAGCCTCAGCAGTGGTGACATAGATAGGCGACAAAAGTTAGATAGTGCCTTTATATTTAAAGATGTTTTATTTAAAAAAATAATTTGTCAATTTCTGACGTCGCCAGTTTCACTACGCACACACAATATGGAAGCGTGCGCGTGCGTACAATCGGAGCGCCTGATCGAACTGATAAAAATTTGATTACTATAGAAAATACGTTATTTTATTTTTTGCTTTGAAAAAAAGTATTTGTATACGTGAGGCACACTATAAGTTTCCGGAATTAATAAGAAAAAAATACTATATAAGGTCAGAAATAAATTTATTGTTTCTCAAAATATTCTCCGTTAGCGTTAATGCACTTTTTCATACGAATGAACTAATTTTGAAAACATTTATCCTCCGTGACAATCTCTAAAACATATTTTTCATATTCTTCGATAGCCTCTTCAGGTGATGAAAATCGTTGACCGCGTAACTGGTTCTTAATTTTTGGAAATAAATAAAAGTCACAAGGTGCCAGGTCGGGACTACACGGGATGGCTCATAAGGTCAACGTTGTTCACTTTCAAAAATTCATTTGTCTGTCTGGCCATGTGAAAACTGGCATTATCGTAGTGCAAGATGATACGGCGTTTACGGTTATTTTTGCGGAGTTTGTCAATAACTTCCGGCAAATAAATGGTCGTGTACCAATCACTATTCACGGTACAACGATTCTCCAAAGCAACAGTAGCCACGTGTCGTTTTATTAAAAATAGAAGCAATCATCCGCTTAGAGGCACGCGCGCCACTTTGGTTGGTTTCGGCTCATCTCGAAAGACCCATAGTCCCGATTGCTGCTTTGTTTTGGGATCGTAACTATAAATCCATATTTCGTCACCTGTTACTATGCCCCACACCAAATTTGATGCCCCTTCGTTGAATCTGGTAAGCGCATGGCATTGCACCAATTGACGCGATCCGTGTTTTGAACCTCAGTCAAATTATGTGGGATCCACCGAGAGCACAGTTTTTTCACACCCAAATGTTTGTGTAGTATTCATTGCATTTGACTCATGCCTATGCATGATCATACGGCGCACAGCATCGATGTTTTTGTTGTTCACACCAGTGGACGGGCAACCACCACGAAATTCGTCACTGAGATTCATACGACCGCGTTTGAATTCTGCAAACCAGCTATAAATAGTCGTCTTGCATAGTGCTTCATCGCCAAAAGCAGTTTGAAGCCGAGGGAAGCTCCGCTGAGCTGTTCAATTACACTTACAGTTGTAGAAAATCATACTACGAAAATTTTCACGCGTTAAATCCATGGTGATGTAGACAACCAATTTTTAAAATGACGCCACAATGTAAAAATAAGTGACAGTCAGATGAAACAAACTGTCTTCTACAGTCAAAGAGTTCCATTTTCAAATGTAATTACTTTTTAAATATAGTTTATGTAAGTGGCCAGTTCCGGAAACTTATAAAGCGCCTTTGTTACGGTTTTTGTAAAAACAAACACCGATATACAAACTCGTGTTAGGGTCGCGCTCGCGCGGCCGAAACACCGCCGCTGCCGACACTTATTTAAAAAATGTTATAATTGTATCAAATATAATTTTATCAGAAATGTCATTTATTTGAAAACTATTCTGCCAAATCATTACGGTGACAACTGCGCTCTGATTGGCCAGCCCGAATCCGAAACAATTGACGGGTGTCATAAGTAATTAGTTTTTGTTTCCTTTTTTTTTCACAAAATTCGGGGAGCATACTATTAATAAATAAATATGGCCGTTTACAAAAATAACAGAAAATGACCAAAAAATAATGTTGGCGTAGTGTTAACAAGAGGTATCTACTTCATCATTGGGGGAGGCCTACGTTCAGCAGTGGACGATGATGACGACTTTATCAGTTTTTCAAAAATTACTTTTCGGGTTTGGTCACTTTATTATCGAAGGTACAATATGTAAAAAAATCCGACCTGAAAAGTTTGTGGAATTACATGTACGTGTCACGGGATTCGTTCCCTAATTTGCCATCCTAAGGCTGCTAACAGGTTCATTGCATGTTTGCAGTATGTGCGTGAAGGCGTAATGAACCATTATTAATTATTAAGAGGGAGCATGCCAAAAAAGTTTTGACGTTGGCTTCGCCCACATTTGTGAGACAAATATATGCCTGAAGTTCGCGTGACATGCGACAGGAGATGTTGAATTTTGCGCATTAAAAGTACCAAATTCGTTTTAGCGGAATAACTCTAAAACTAAAGGGATTAAAAAAAATCCGTAGTGACAGTTCTCGATCATGCATAAATATAATTAATTATCTAATTTTTGTCCTAATAACCTGTAGCATTTCGAGGTTGAATCGAAAAAATTTGAAAATTAGAGGTCATTTCGTGATTTTTATTTATCGAGGAAATTTTATTGTTTTATATTTCTGATTAGTGTCTATGCTTGAATATATCATGTAGTTACTCATACAATATTATATTTTTAACTTTAAAGTGGATATACCCCTAAAATCAAATCGAAGAATTTTTCCTCTGCTCCCTCTTAATATTAAGTATCAATTTCATGCAGTCGTAGTCTCGGATAACGACTTCACACACAAAATAGTCGAATCGAAAACATCCTCCTTTTTAACCGACTTCAAAAAAGGAGGAGGTTCCCAAATCGATGTATATATTTTTTTGTATTTATGTTATGCGGGAACTCTGGTTTGTGAACCGATTTTGATGATTATTTTTGTTGGAAAGAGTGTACCTCAATATTGGTCCCATTTAAATTTGAAGGAATCCTTCTCCCTACAAGTGGGTAGTAAACTAGAAGATGAATCCGGTTTCGTGCACTTTCCGGTAATCGAGTTCAATAAAACTTGGTAAATAGATGTAATTTCACAAACTTTTGAAGTCGGTTACTTTAGTACTTTGTACTTTGAAGGCCGTTAAAAATACGAAACTTACCGATTCATAAAAATCACATTACACAAGTTGCAAATGTACGTATACAGGTGCCATTGCTTCATATGGGTGGACAATTTGTTGCGCTTGGTGAACTTCAAGTGGCATATGTCGCATTCGAATATTTGTTCGGCATTTTGTGGCTGAAAAAAATTGGGCTCTTTTTATTTACGACCTTTCAAAGGGCTATAGTATGAATCATATTTAAGCCAGGTACTTGTTGCGGACGGCACCCGCCCTATGATTGGCTAAAAGACTAAGTCCCAAGCTGTTAAACCATTTAAATGTCGCTTAATGACACTGTCGACACGTCAACGTCATAGACATTTTTTAATCCTTGTTCCGTTTGATTCTTGTCTCTGGATTACCATTTGTGTTTTTGATATATTATTAACTGACTTTTGACTATTCTTTACGGACATTCCCTCGATTATGGGCGAAATTATCGATTATTACGATGGGGCCATAACATTTAAAAGAAGAAGAAGAGAACCCAATTCATTGCTACAATGAAAGCTGTCAAATGACGACAACACACGTCTTGTCGAACGCAGTATCGTTTATTCATATTGAACTGCCTCCATGGCTGAACGGTTACCACGCCGGACTGTCCCGGCTTCGTATCCCGGGCCGGAAGACATATTTATATGGCCTGCATCTATTTCTCTCGTGAGTTTGGGCCTAAGTGTGTTTCCGTGGCACCCGCGACACAGGGTTTTCTTTAGTGCGGGGCTATGATAAAAAAAACTAGAATTATATTTTCCAGCAATTTCTATTAAAATTAACAAAGTTTACGTTAATGAATCATTCCTATACAATTTTTAAATTTTTTGACAGAAAAAAAGACTTACAGTTAAATGCTGATTAAGATGCGCTGTCAGTTGATGGAATTTTTCAAAGCCAATGTTGCAATCGTCACATTTGACATAAGTTTCCAGGAGACCTGTCACAATTGTCATAATTAACATTCACTCTACTTTTTGTACTCCCGTCTCACCTTGCTAGATTCATTATAGGTGTTGGAATTTGTGCGAGTGGGGTGAAGTTGGCGATTTGAATTACATCTTTTGAAATTGCTCTATAGTCCGTCCTTTTTTGAAGACGGAGTAAAATGACAGTTAACATAGAATAGACATATTTATTGCAACGCCACAACACATAGATACAAAAAAAAAAAGACGTAATTAACAAATATAAAATAAGACAAAACCAAACAATAAGAAAACAAATATAGATAGATAGATAAACGTTTATTTGGATCTATATAATATAACGACTACAAATGTTGTACTGACATATGTGCGGTTGTGGCGTACTCAGAAGGACCTCATTTAGTTTATGCCACAGCCGTAATTGACTGACCTGAGTGACGGATGTGTGTGTCGCAAAATAAAATAAACTGCTTAAATATTTGCGTATGTGGTCTTCGTACGTTGTGTTACTGCTGTGTGTTATATTATAGATCGCAAAAAAAACATTGGGCAAAAGTGTTGTCTGCTTGAGAGCAACTAGTGATTGTAGTCGATAAATATTCTATCGATGAATATTGGTCACGCTTATGGAATAAATAGCCGAACTTGTTTCATTTGAATCATCCTCGACCCAATATTCAGCCAATTACTGAACACAAATTAATTTGAACTTGTGCTATTTTTTTAAATGCTACACGCTGCACTTAGGGCACGTTCAAATAAGCGCCGCAACCGCGCGGCGGCCGCGCGACAGTCGTGCTGCAGTCACGTTCGGTTGCAGTCACGGTTGGTGAGGTGTACATGTTGTACATGTTAATTTTTCAAATTAACCACGATGGACGATAATCGAGTTGAAGAATTTATAGAGAATGCAAAACAACACCCTGCAATATGAGATATCAAACAAATGAAAAAAACATAGCAGGTGATTCATTTTTAATACCTGTACGTGAAGTGTGCGCCCCAAGAACTCTGACCCCCCCCCCCCCTAACTATATTGCCGAACCTTGTAGTATTCTTTTGATTATTTTAACAAAATAAGGGTAACGAACGGATTCTAATACGTTCTGGTATTCTTTTTAATTTTTCTTTCCTCAGTTTTAACAAAATACGTAAAAGTAATGTTTCTTCGCCAGAATCCATCGTGTAACTGAGTCGAAAGATAAAACATCACTAAAAATTTGGTCGCACTTCAGCAGCGCGACAGTCGTGCGACGGCCGCGCGTGAATTAATTGAGGGCAGTATGAAAAAAATATAATAATTACTTATATGTGAGGCCGCGAACTTTTCAATCCACCCTCGTATTATGTGTGTTTATACTAACTGTGTAACAACTATAACTTCAACATGCCATTGGTACCATCGCGCCAACGCTAGATGGGATTAGTTGTACCCTGAAACGCACTATCGTGATTTTTTATCGTGACTTTGTTTATCACCGTCCTCTACGTCCGCTGGCCACGCTACAACTGTTTATTGACATCTCATAGGTCCTCGCCAGATACCTTTTTTACTCTTTCTCCGTCTTCGTAATCCCGTTTCCAAATTTCTTTATATACAAATAACTAACCTGTATAGTAATCCATAGTACGATACATAGCCTCTTTAGTGAGTGGCAACGAAGTGAAAGCGTCATTAAGTACCAATTTCCCATTTTCAACATGTTGAACAAAACAGTTTACCAGGTCGCAGCTGAAAATTATAAATTATCATAGTTATTAGCGTAATATAATGCATAATCACAGTTCTAAAAACCATACAGCTGTACTACCACCATACACGCATTAAATTGACTATTCTAATTATTAATAACAAAGTAATGGAGCAATTTCCCAAAAAATAATTATTCTTCTTTTAACCGACTTCAAAAAAAGAAGGAAGTTCTCAATTCGACTGTACTTTTTTTATTTATGTTACGCGATAACTCCGGTATTTGTGAACCGATTTTCATGATTATTTTTTATTGGAAAGAGGGTACCTCCATGGGACCACCCCATTTAGTTTTAAAGAAAATCATCCACCTCTAATGGTGGCTGTTCACGCATGAAGATTCATTTTTATAAATAGCGCCTAAATTTTATTTTGGAGCAATTATTTTAATGGTTGATTTTGCTATTCTCCAATTAAGGCGTTTTTCTCTATCAATATACTTTGAGTAGTGAGAACCGATTTTTATTATCTCCTGTGTAAGTTCCGTGCAGTGGCGAACTAGGGAATGAATCTGGGTTTGCGCACTTTCCGGTAACCGATTTTAATAAAACTTGGCAAATAGATGTAATTTCACGTACTTTTGAGGTCAGTTTTTTTATACTCCGTACTGAGATTGTTTAAATTCAATTCGACTGCCTTTTTTTCATGTATGTTACACGATGACTCCGGTATTTGTGAACCGATTTTGATGATTATTTTTTTATTGGAAAGAGGGTACCTCAGATGTGGTCCCATTTAAATTTGAAGAAAATACTCCAGCTCTAAGGGTGGCAAACTAGGCAATGAATGACTTGATATCGGTTTTGTAGTACTCTGTACGGGGGCCTACCACAACCTCTTAAAACAATATTACTTTAACCTTACATTGACTTTTCGTACCATGACGCGCTCAAAGTAAGCTTATTATAATGTTAAAACTATGACTTTTTATTGCCAGCTTTGGACTATTCATTCGCTCAGTTCCTACTATGACGCGACTTTAACATTAATATAATATTGGTCATATTATATCAAATTTAGCAATCTTAAAATAGTTACTCGGACGCTGTGGAAACAATATATTCGAATTTATGGTCTAAGTATTGATTTGTAATGATTAAAAGTTATGTTGAACTTATTTATTTAGATAAATCTCTTCAATATTTTGTTTATTTTTTTATTTAATGAATAGTAAATAAAAATACGCTATGTTCATTTCGTAAAATTATAACAGCGACATCCATATGCTCCTTGGCGACACTAACAGTTGACACTACACTATAATTCCGAAATCACAACGTAACTATCAAGACTCAGCGTGTTTTATTTATTTTTCTTCATGAAAATGCGGAAAAATAATTGAAAACAACGTAATTTTAATAGATTTTATTATATTCATACTTTTCTTTATTTAACGGTTAAAATTCTCTGAATGTAAATAACATTAAATATTTAAACAATATAGTACGATAAGACGATTCAAAAAAAGATAAAAAAAGAAAGAGATGGCATTATATAGTTCAGATAGCGTTACTTCTTTCCTATTTTTAGTAAGGAATAGACAATATTGGGAAATCATTCGTTCTTTCAATCACTTTAGCAATAATATATTACTTGGCTGATAAGTTATTCATGGTGCGAATATGAGTAATATTATAATAAGCTTTAAGCTTACATTTGAAATAAGATTGTTTTTGGAAAGGTTATGGTAGAGGTTATTTTCTAATATTAAATGACGGGACTAACAAGTCGTGCGCCTAATGGTAAGCTATATGCCCGTCCATAACAGTTACAGTGCCACTCAGAGCTTTAAATTGCAAAGATCTGCGGGGCACTACCACTGCGCCCGTCACCCTGAGACTTAAGTTGACAAGTCCCGTGTGCCTGTAATTTCACCAGCACCCTTACGCTTCAAAACCGGAACACAGTAATGGTGACATTACTGCTTGGCACCGGAAATAGGTAAGGTGGCAGTACTTGCCTGGACGAACTCTTTCACAAGGAGCTCTATTTATAATCATGGTAATAAAGCATCGTGACATTCAATAAAAACTTGAAAGTTAAACTGACTTTTGTTTCTTTGAGTAACATTTTCATTTGTAAATCGCCGCAATTACGGAAGATAGTTTCTCAGTAAATGGCCACTGGAGCATCCCTCGTCATATATTTTTATAATTATCGATGTACTCACGTTGTACTGTATTTTTTGCCGCAGGTGTTGCACTCGTACTCATACCAATGCATCTGGGCTGAGTGCTTGGTCAATTCTTCTTCTGTACGGAAACGCCGCTTGCATATTTCACACGCGCACTCCAATGTTTGCTGAAAGTAGTAAAAGTTGTAACAAACCTGTTTTATGCAGACTACCCTAAACACGGAAGAAAAAAGCAATGGAAGTGCCTTAAGCCTCGATCAATAACAGAACCGTTGTCGCCAAAACTCACGCATTCTCAATTTGAAACACTACAAAATCTTGACATTCAATTGGTCGTAGTTTCAAATTAAAAAAAAAACTAATTCTGGATTAAATAATATAATTTAAATTTTACCCTGTTGGCATATCGTTGAAAGTTCAAAACCATCAACACCTATTATTGCAAGTTACGACGTTTTGATATTATATTTAAATTTCAATCAATGTGCTCCCATCTAGCGGTTAATTGCTGAACGACGACGAACTGGAGTTATTAATTTAGTTCTCCAAAAAAGAAGTGACCATATTGTAAAGGCATAAACTTTAGTTTCGTTTCAGCAAACAGAAAATTGAAAATTTATTAATAAGACTTTCCGATGACATGAAATATCACTACGGGTAATGTTTTTGGTGCAGCTATCATTTTTGCACTCCAAAACAGCACAAAAAGGCATTTTTCTAGGACTTTAGAGAATTTGCACCAAATAATGACACAACCGTATCATACTGAGCTGACTGAGCTCAAATAGGTCTTTCAAGACCTACTTGCTAACTAACTCATTACAGGATATATCACGGAAAGTGTGCGATGGGATTACACGATTTGATTCGGCCTTCACCTTTCCATCACCGGGGGACTAGGCGTAGCCTTGGGTTTCACCTCCATGTTGTGGATATTCCAAAGATTCGCACGAAGCGTTACGCTTCCACATTTAGATGGCGATCGGCTATGGAGTGGAATTCCCTACCTGCAGACTTGTTCCCTGAACGTTACAACTTGGACCTTTTCAAGGCGAGAGTGAATAGGCATTATTTAGGTGTGCATGCTCCATCGTCGGCCTCATCGTCACTTTCCATCAGGTGAGATAGAGGTCAAATGCGCCCTTACATTTTATATTAAAAAAAAAGATAATGCAACACTATACCCAATCTTATACTAAGAAATATAGTACTCGTAATTTTATTTATTTATATGGACAACAAAACAGACAACAATCAAATTACATTGATAAGATTTAAATATAATTTTCTTAAATATGCTCGAAAATATTTACATTACTTTTTTTTATATAATATCAAGAGACGGTACGAACAAGTCGTGTGTCTGATGATAAGCTACACGTCTATTCATAACGGTTGCAGTGCCACTTAGAGCTTTAAATCGCAAAGTTCTGAGGGGCACTGCCACTGCGCCCGTCACCCTGAGACATAAGTTGACAAGTCCTATGTGCCTGTAATTTCACCAGCACCCTTACTTACCCTTCAAAACCGGAACACAGTAATTAGAATAAAGAAGGCAATAACGCAATTAGTAATCGTTAGAACGTCGTAACATTCACAATTCAGTCATTTTTGCCAAAATTTTATCTTCTTTCACAATCTATCGATAAAAGTATCGACAACAAATACATAACTATTTAAAATTTTATCAAAACTGACAACTCTACAAATGTCATTTAACTCTGTCTTCAAAAAAGACAGACTATAGTATAAACACACATAATATAATATACTTCCGGACACATAATTCGAGCCACCTCGCATTTTTGCCTTAAAGGGCTAGAATACAAAAATAGTGTTATCATCGAAGAAAAAGGTTTCCCTCGGTTTTGCAAGTCCAAATTTCCAACAAGGACTTATGGAAAAGACTTTTAATCTACTAGTTTCAAAATTGCGTAGGATAGTTCTTGATCAATCGATCGTTGTTTAAGCTTAGGGCATTTAATACTGATGCGAGGTGGCTCGAATTAAGTGTCCGGGAGTGTACTATACTAAGTACAGATACCCAATCTCAGAAATCGCACTCGCAATTCCGCTTATTCGTGTGCTTAATTTGATTCATGACGCTGATCAATTAGATGATACCAAGTAAACCCGCGATGCGATTGTAATAATATTCGAAAAGGCCAACAGATGGCAGCTATTACATTTTTACCAAGGTTTATTGCTCTTTATCAGGCGTTGGATTCAGGCGTCGTCAGACAGTATTATAACCAGAAATAGAGACGAAATAAGGGCCATCCATCCCTGGAAACTCATCAGGTAAATGGGCCTTATATCACTTTTACATATCAACTCTCTTTTGCGCTGTAATCACAAATTAGAAATAATACAGTGCCAACAACTGACCGTATCGACGTAACCGACTGTCTCCGTATATTCCAAAAACAATCCGTATTTATTATAATAACATAATATCTTTAAATTGTCTAAGGTGGTAAACAAAAACGCTTTACTTGTAGTTTACCACAGCTATGTAGCTGCAACACTCAGATATGGTATCTTATAAATTTTGACCTTGCCTTCATTGTATATCTATGAAACAGCCTTATTTATACGGCGACACCCTCAACTTTTTCCTGTAGTTACAAGAGCACGACGTCCTAACCAACTACGCCAAATAAATTGTAAAAAGTTACTATTTGAGAAGAGTATAATTGCAATGGCACCAAAAATCTATAATAAATTTCCATTACAGTTAAGGCAGAATGAAAATTTCGCGGAATTTAAACGCACATTATATGAGCATTTAATTGAAAAATCATTTTATACGTTAAAGGAGTTTTGTTAATTAATTTCACATTAATTATTTATTATTGAGACGTTACATTAATTATATTACATTGATTATTATCTTAATTAAATTACTTTTGTTTTGATGTCCTAACTGTTGTAGATTTTAAGACTTGGATTTTCACTGTCCTGTGAAGGTGGAAGCCTGTAATCAGTGATTTATGACTATTTAATGATTATTATTATTGTTATTTTATTATTATTGTATTTATTTTAAAACTTATTATTATTATTTGGAAGTATTGGACAAGTATAATTAATAATAATAGTATAATTCGTATGCCTCGATGGTACCTCATGGCAAGCATAAAATAAATGTTATCATCTTTATTGTACCCATGATGACAAATAAAATTATTTGATTTAATTTGATTTTATGGGGGCTGTTCCATTCAGTAGTGTGGGAAAAACTATCTAATTACGTAAATCCGTTATAGCAAGGCTCAAGTTAAACTGGATGATTTGAAGTGAAACAATTGAGGACACCCGTCAATTGTTTCGAATTCGGGCTGACCAATCGGAGCGCAGTTGCCACTGTAATGATTTGGCAGAATAGTTTTCAAACAAATTAAATGACATTTCGTCTCTATTTCTGGTTATATACTCGATGGTATGTTATTATATAAAAAACAGGCACGTTTAAGCGTCACATACCTCCTTATTGTGCTTGTTAACGTGGACAAGCAGTGCCTCGAGACTGGAAAAGTCTGTATTGAGACATATGCTGCATTTAAACTGCGCTCGGAGGAAGGATGGACGACGCAACTCGGCATTGAACATCTCCCGTTGCTCTTCTACATTGAGTAAGCGTATTCGACTGTTGCACATGGCGATTGATAGCTGTTGACAAAAAAATCTTGCTAAAACATGAAATTACTAGGGAATTGCGCTTGAGTTGACTTTATTTGTATCAAAATTGATTCATGCGAATATATGCCTACAGCGCCCTGCGCGGTCAATATAACTGATAAGGTTGTAAGCCGGTAATGCGCCGTAACCAGAATACTATATCTAATCTATAAGGATTCAATATAATATAACACGGCAATAAAATAGGATACTTCTGTCCACAAAAATATATTCCATAATTAAATCAAAAGGAAAAGGCTATAACAAGAAAAGGTACATAAAAAAACAGGTGCAATTGTAGCGTTTGTTTTTTTTGTTTTTTATGTCATTTGTATAACGTTCAAAACTGCGGGAATTCCCAAGACCGCGTAAGAATTGTCCGGGCCCCCGCGCGACCTGTTTTTCGGCTCGTATCCAGTTTGTACATTACACAAGTGACATAACGTTTACTATGCTAAGATTTCTAAAATTAGCTTATATTCTGTTTCGCGGCAATATAAATCGAGCCGTAGATAAGTCATTCGCTTGTTACGTTTTCGCCTAAGAACCCTCGAGTTAACAACAAAATTATAGTAAATTACAGCTATATCAAGCTATACTTATGATATTACAACCAAATGTTAGATATATATAACATAGAAACATAATATGCAATGTCATTAGAACAAACAACAACAACACTCCCTATTTATTTACGTGGCACAAACTTATCCCGAAAGGGCCGAGTTATACAGTATTACCAGAGTAGATTAGCATTGATTTAATTTTAACATGATTAGATGGCACATGATTGAGGTTTGGAACAGGTAAAAGGATCTAAATTAGTCGCAATTAAAAATTAGAGCAGCACTGGTCGCGACGGCGATTGAGCAGGGAGTGACAACGGGACGCAACAAAATGAGAATGGCGAGCATTGACTTACAATTATATGGACGTCGGGTCCGCGCTAAAAAGTGTCCGAACTTATAGGGCGTTCAAATCGTATACAGAGCGTCATTCACGCTCTAGTCTTAGTTTGTTTGACTGACAGCGAAGCAAGCAAAATTAGACAGTACTGCGATGAGATTACAATTTAAATTCAACGTTTTAGCTTTTTCATATTCCTTGAAATGTCACTACGTTTAAATAGGTTGACTTGGGACATTTTTTTCGTGGTTTTTGTATTAGACCCGTCGTCCATTTATTTGTAAGTCAATGATGGCGAGGCAAAAGAATTAAAGAACGATTCAAAATTTGAAAACAAGTGGCCAGAAACCAGAGAAAGGGTGATAAAAAAGTGGGATGACGACAAAAGGAGATCACATAATAATAATAAGTAGGCCATACAAATATTTCTCCCGGCCCGGGAATCGAACCTGGGACCTCAGCGTGGCAGTCCGGCATGGTAACCGTTAAACCACGGAGGCAGTTAAACCACAACGTCACATAACAACCCATCTAGAGTGCTGATGGGACTGCCGGGATGCACATTCTTACGTAACCATGTAAATTTAATTTAATTTGTATTGAATTGATATTCAATTATTTTTTGTGAAATCACTCCACTAGTTTGTTATAATTATTATCTTCTTCTTCTTCTTTTAAATGCTATGGCTCCATCGAAACGATGATTTCGCCAATGTCAAGTAAAAATGACTATAATTATTATAGTCGTCACCAAATAAAAGGTCAAATTTGACACTTGTCATCGTGACGCGAATAGGGATTTTCAGGGAATTTTCACGAGAAATCGATTCCAAATTTTAAGAGTTTGTGATTGTTTTGATTATTTTTCGTTTCATTGTTGTTCAGGGGGCCTAAAAGGCCATATCGTGCAATTCTGTTAAAAGCAATTCATTATCAGAATTCCTTGCAATTCTGTAGCAATAATAATAATTCGTTTATTTGCTTAAAACATGGTATAACAGAAGATGTTACAAGAGAGTGCCAGTACAAACATGTTTCGCATTTATTAAATAGCATGCAAATGTCTAGTTATATAATGTCTAGTTATGCATCTATATAATGTCTAGTTAGCATGCAAATGTCTAGTTATATAATGTCTAGTTATGTCTAGCATGCAAATGTCTAGTTATATAATGTCGATCAGACTACCACAACACAATAACACAAAATTGTCACAAACGTGTCAAGTTACAAATTAATTTAGTCAAGAATGATAATCTTCAAGATAAAATCTTACATCTCATTTCCTGTCAAATATTTCGTTTAGGTCATAAAAATTATTTTTAGTTAACCACTTGTACAGCTTTGTATTAAACAATTTCTATTATTTTCGTAAGATTGTCCCACATTCCGCTGAATTGTATCCAATTCTTTTAATTTTGATTTTATAATATTCACAAATGGTTTATTACGAGAATTTAGTATAAATAAGTATGTTCATGATGAAATTACCAAGAAACCAAAGATTTCATAAATTTTCAATTAATTGGCTGGCAATAAGTTAGAAGTTGTCAATTTCAACAACAAACGATCTCAAATAATGTTCATAATTTATTCTAATATTTTTTTTAAATAATTTTTCAGAGAAATCGAAGCGACTCGGTGAAATTGGGCGATTAATTGCTTACAACACTATTATTTAAAAAAATAGATTGAGGACGTAACTGTTTTCAGGGCGTTTCGGTAACTCAAAACTGCATTTTATTTTGGAATTCGTGCAAAAACAGTACTTCAAAAATGTCATATTATATAATGTTCCAATAAAATTTATGTATTTTTTTAAAACTCAATTATGCTAATAATTGTATGTTTATGGTTTCGTTATCGCCTTCTTTAGCTGTCAAATTTGGTCCCTTATTTGGTGACGACTATAATACAAAAAACGAACACTTAGAAAAGTCTGTAAAAGCTAAAAATTCGTTGAAAACGAAATACAAAGATCCGACAAACAAGCACATGGAAAAATTCGTGATGTCCGCTGGTTCGTTCCGTGGTTTGCTAGAAGACGTCGTCGGTTCGAATCGAAGGAATTTTTTCTAAGTGTTCGCGATCTTTGTATTAATACTCATACAATTTACAATTAACAATTTGTTTTTTCTTTTTATTGTTACTTGTGATGCCTATACCTATGTCGTCTTTTATTAGCCCACCATTAGTCGTAATCCGGGTGTCGGATTCCAGGTGACCCGTAGCACAGGTAAAACCTAGTTTGTGCTCCTGTCTCCCAACCTTTCACTTCTATTGTATTACCTACATGTTGTACTTGTTGGGAGAAAAATAAACGATTTTATAATTATTATTAATTATCACAGAAAATAAAAATCTCGACAAGTTTCAACCGTAGTTTAAAATAAATTCTATATAAATAGGTGACAAATACATACCCGTGCCACATACTTAACAAAAGCCCTTGACTTCGGTTGCGGGACGATTGGATTAACAGTCTCCTTTCGTTTCTGCGTTATCTGCTTTCGTTTACGTTTTGGGGGAGACGTAACCGGCAGTTCCGGTAGACTTTCCGCTTCTGATTCTGGTTTGTCTTCAAGACCTGAAATGTAAAAAAGGTGTGAATATTTTAAGCAAGCCGCCGATATTGATAGAATCTTTGTCGTACAGAAACGTGCAGTTAGGGCAATTTACAAACTGGGCCCCAGAATGTCTTTGAGAGATAAGTTTAAATAAATTCTTACACTGACGCCACGGTACATTTATGAAAGTGTTATTAATGTTAGGAATAATATTTTTTTATAATTATTAATACAAAGATCGAACACTCAGAAAAAATTCCTTCGATCCGGCCGGATTCGAACTGACGTCTTCTAGCTTACCGTGTCAGACGCTATACCAACTAAGCATTAGTGCAGTGCTTAGTTTAATTAAAATAATTGAATATCAATTCAATAAAAAATTAAAATATTTTTTTTAATGAAAAATAGTGACAGACATAACATTAATACGAGGAATAAAAATAAACTAGCTGTTCTTGACAGTTGTCTTCATAAAGTCTCAAAAAGTTCAAAAAAGAAGATATTATCTAATTGGAATCATGGTGTTGCGTTTGAAAATTTGTGTACTCGAGAATTAATATGTTTATGAGGATTCAAAGGATGATTCCCGTTCACATGAAGAAGAACCCAACGATTCATCCTAATAAACAATAAGGATTTATTATAATTATTTATAATTTGTTTAATTTCATAATTTATTAGACAGGTAACAAAATTTATAAACTTGAATAATCTTCGTTACATAATCAGTTGGCTCGATAAACATCGGAGCACGTCGCTTCACTAAAATTAAAAAAGAAGAGTCCAGGAAGTATTGCATTTTTTGTTTATAGTTGTATGTCAATAATTACGGAACTTCGGAGGCATGCTTATGTCAAAAGTTAAATAAACGATTGGACGGAGTAAAGTGATTTGAAACTTGTATTGAACAAAATTTATCACAGACATTGTAGCGGTATCAATGGGTTAAAGGGTGGGTGCTAACAACCAGTGAGCAAGGACAAGCAAATATACTTACAGCTTTTAATAATTTACTAGAAAACACGTTGTCGCTATCAAAGCAAAACAGCAAACACAGACTTAAGTCAAGAAAAAGGCGCCAAAAACAAACACATATAATTAAATTTTTATTGAATTGATATTCAATTTTTTTTTGTGAAATTACTCCACTAGTTTGTTATAATTATTAATACAAAGATCGAGCACTCAGAAAAAACACTCAGAAAAAATTCCTTCGATCCGGTCGGATTCGAACCGACGTCTTCTTGCATACCGTGCCAGACGCCATACCAACTAAGCCACGGAACGAACCAACGGACCTCACGAATTTTTCTATGTGCTTGCATCGTGTCTTTGTACTTGGTCTTTCAACGACTTTTTAGTCGTAGCGCCATCTATGAGAAATTTATGACAGATTTATCACCCAGTTAGTACCTTTACAGTTACCAGTCCTGGCGAGAGATGTCGCTATTCACTGTATTAATTAAATACAGTGAATAGCGTTCGTTCTGTGGCTTAGTTGGTATAGCGTCTGGCACGGTATGCAAGAAGACGTCGCGTCGGTTCGAATCCGACCGGATCGAAGGAATTTTTTCTGAGTGTTCGATCTTTGTATTAATAATTATAACAAACACATTTAAATTTAGAATTTAAGTATAAAACTAAAAGATAAAACTAAAGAGACTACGAAATATATACAAAAGAGTTTTTGTATGTATATATGTATAACCGTCATTGTGAATAAAAACCGCCGAAGTATTTTAATAACCGGCAATCTATCTCACCACCGCTCCACATGTCTTTCAACCCTGACATTGGCAAAATCGTCGCGCAAAACGACGGAGCGATAGACACAAAAGTTGAAGTTGAAGTTGATCGACTGCTGCGATTTGCTACAGACATGATTTCAGGATACGTATTATCATAGCCTAATATTTGGGGGATAAATATTCCAAATATGGTAACTGTACAGCAGTTTGAGGTGACAACCGTAATTATATGTTTTTGTTTATTGACATTTATTCGAAACCGAACTTGGCTGGAGTATAGTTTGTATTTGAAACAATTGGCATAAAGTTGATTATGCTATGATTACAAAATTCGCTTTCATTTCACTTCGTATCAATGTAAATTAAACCACAAACTTACCTTTGAAAACATCATCCATATCAATTTCTTCTTCCGGTACAAGCCCTCTATTATCAAAGTCTTCTTCTTGACCTTCACTCGTTTCCTTTTCTTCATTTACTTCTTTTTGTTCTTCTATTTTTTGTTCTTCTTCATATAATTCTATTTCTTTATAATTATCCGGCTTTATATTCACCAACGTAACGCTTTCCAAAGCAATATCTTTGCTAATAATATTCGGTTTCGTATCAATGCTAAAATTGCTGCCATTTTCAACGCCAACTGGTTTTATTTGTGATGTAATTTCGAGTTTATATTGACATTCTTTGTTGTTCGGGTCAAATTGAACTTTGAACTTGAACTTTTCGTTTTCTGTTATTTTTTCTGATTTTCTTTTCCTTTCAACTTCATCTGATGATTGTAACTGTAAAAATATATTAATAATAATAACGCTCACAATAACGCTCACAATCAACATAGCCCCGCACTAGGGAAACCCTGTGTCGCGGGTGCCATGGACACACACATAGACAACCACAAATTACACCCAAACTCACGAGAGAAATAAATGTAGGCCATACAAATATTTCTCCCGCCCCGGGAATCGAACCTGGGACCTCTGCGTGGCAGTTAATACAATGTGTTGATTTGCATTCTCGACATATTTCAGATGTTAATAATAGAAATAATGCTAAGTCATCTAAAAATATTTAAAAAATTATTCTGTTCAATATTTTGGCTAATTGTATATAGTAAAGTCTTTGAAAATTGTCTCGGAGTCATATGTACCACGCAAGGGCAATGACCCCGTCACCCGCTTCACCGAGCGATACGTAATGTTTCTCGATCGCTTATTTACCTATTTTTTTTAATTATGATTATGTACCAGTATTGTTCTAATTTACTATTTATTTACATTAATTGTATATAAAACTGTATATAAAAATGAATGTTTGCATCTTTCGCGCCCTGGGTGTAAAAAGGACACATCTGTAAAATGACAACTTTTCAGGAAGGTTTAAAGATTCTGTGAAAGAAATTTGTTGGATAATTTTTTAAACTTAAATATACGGGAGTTATACAATTTCATTTAGGTACATAACATCGAGTATATAATCAGAAATAGGGACCAAATAGGGGCCATCCATCCCTGGTAACTCATCAAGCAAACGTCTCTCGTTTGCGTTGAAATCACAAATTAGAAAGCTGAAATAGTACAGCGCCCACAACTGACTGTAGGTCTACGTATATTCCAAAAATATTCTGTGTTTATTGTAATAAAGATAATATCTCTCATATAACAATGAGGGGCTGTTCCATTCGATGGTGAGGGGAAAAACAGCAAAACATCTAATTACAAAACAAACGATCATCGGTAATTAAATATTAAATACATAATTTTTCAATTTTTGTCCATAATAGCAAAGCTCAAGATAAACTCGTCGATTTGAAGTGAAACAATTGACGACACCCGTCAATTTGGCAGGTCAATCGGAGCGTAATTGTCACCGTAATGATTTGCCAGAATAGTTTTCAAACAAATTAAATGACAATTCGTCTCTATTTCTGGTTATATACTCGATGTTCGTGAGAGACAGAACATTTATCCATATTGCACGTAGCTCTCTATCTGATAAGAACTCCTCTAATGAGTCAATAACTCCTCCTTTAGATACGAGTAACAAACGTAACTTGTTTTTAAAAGGTGTTTATTTGTCCTCTATTTTCAATATATCTGTATTATTACAATGAGTCCGGTAATAAGGGCAATTTCTATACATCTCAAGATTGCGTGTAGCAGGGTTGGAAAAATCATGATTTCAAAAAAAAATCCTAATTAATCCCAATTTTTTTTAATTTTTTTTTTATCATACAGTTTAACTATATTTTTGCGTAAAACGTAGTAATTTAAAACGTTAATTAACCGCGGCAAGCTAGTTTTTGTGTTTAAGTATTATAATAATGATATTGATTTCTCAGATGTAAAAGACCCTAGTCTTTAAAACACAATTGTCTGATGTTATGTTGATTTCAGTGAAAGAAAATAAAATAAAACACATTTCATTAAATCACTGATTTTTATTGAAAAAATCATTTGATTTAATTCAAAATTATTTAATCGTGCCGACCTTGAGTTGTAGGGCGGGATAATTTTGTTTACGGCGAAAAATTTTAACTGGTTCTTCTCGAAGATACGATTATCGAAAGAATATAAACACTCGCGGTTATCGGTTAACTTCCCCTTGGGCGACATTCGCGTCGCTATTGACTAGTGAACGTTTCCGTGTAAAATGGGCCTTCACGCTCTGTGTAAGATTACGTATACTGACCTCAGCAACCATTTCTTGAACAATCTCCTCGTACATCGTCCCTTCAATCTCCGGGGCGACCACATCGTATATTTTAGCATTCGTTACAAACGACCCGTATGGCGATACAAGGTTTGTCTTCTTGCGATCCACTTGCTGAATATCTTTAAACGTCACCTGCAAAGATAACATATTTTAGTGATACCAGAGATTTAGGTGAAATTACAGGCACATAATATAATAATAATAATAATAACGCACACACTCAACATAGCCCCACACTAGGGAAACCCTGTGTCGCGGGTGCCATGGACACACACATAGACAACCACAAATTACACCCAAACTCACGAGAGAAATAAATGTAGGCCATACAAATATTTCTCCCGGCCCGGGAATCGAACCCGGGGACCTCTGCGTGGCAGTCCGGTATGGTAACCGTTCGGCCACGGAGGCAGTTACATGAGCAGGCTGTGGGTCGTATTCCAGAACTCTACTCAATACTGAAGTCAGGACTTGAGTATTGCACTGAGCACTGAAAATAATACTCAAGTCCTTGCCATTAGGGTCGTATTTCCAGTGCTTGAAATCATACTCAAGTCTGCTCAAATCCTGACTTGAGCATTGAGTAGAGTTCTGGAATACGACTCTGTGAATGCTTGAGATTCTGTGAAATGATGGATGCTAGGGAAACGAGTGTATTATTGTAATGTATTTTTTCTTTTTAACCGACTTCAAAAAATAGAGGAGGTTCTCAATTCGACTGCTTTGTTTGTATGTTACGCGATAACTCGGGTATTTGTGAACCGATTTTGATGATTCTTTTTTTGTGTTCGAAGAAAGGTACCGTTGGTGAGAATAGGCAACATAGACCTGGGTGCGGCCACTTCAAAAACTACTTTCAATCAATAGATATCATTATTGCGATCAAAAAATATTATGGGCACCTATAACACGTAAGTCATTGAGTTTTCGAAATATCTTAAATAATATACGAACTTCTGCCTGGAATTTGTTTGTGTGGCGTGTATGTTAACCATGATTGGCGAAATAGTAGCTTAAGTTTGAAAGGGTTCTATGAACTGTGGAAAACGACATTCATTTCACCTCTAATTTCGCGCACTTTCCGGTAACCGATTTCAATAAAACTTAGCGGATAGATGTAATTCCACGAATATTTGAGGTCGGTTATTTTTAACAATGAGTATTATTATTTCTTTCCTATAATTAGCTTAGTTTTCACGGTGCTTTCTGTTGGCTATATGGCTAAAGTACAACAAAGCGTGGATCCATCACAGACGTGTTCTCAGGCCGATTCCTGTGTGAATACTTCGGCTCTCCGTCTTTTAAACGCATGAAAATATATCGTGTAAACACAACACCGCTAGCGCGAGTTAAGCTCTTTCGGAGAGCTTTCATAAAAAAATATAATTTTTTATTAAAAGTTTATTGTAATTCACAATTTTAGTACATGTTATTACTGTCTTAAAACTATCTTAATACTAATTGTCAGGATGCATTAATGCTCCGGCGCAGAGCGCGTTATCGGACAGGAAATGCAACCTCATGTCTGGACTCTATGGCTTCGAGGCGTTGATGCAGGCCAGGCTTAGCTAAGAACTAGCTAGAGTTTACATAACACGCGCAAGCCTTCGTACACACGGCAGTGGCGACACACACTTAACATCGTCCGGGTTATAACGGCTTTACCGTTGTTATTATTATTATCGTAGACTCCACAGAGCAGAAAATACAGGTAGACCCCTACTTTGCTCCAGAGTTAGGTAGTAGTCAAACCAAGTTTACTTTTAAAACCTACCCGTTTTTTAATGGTCATGATTTCTTTCAACACGTAGAACGCACGACGCGTCTTACGCCGGAACTGCAGGCATCGTCTGATATGGCTGCGGCATTCCTGGCAGAAGTACATTGGGTAGCCATCTTCTGGGTGCATCTGCAGACGGAGATAATGATAGATGTATAATAATGGGTGACACCCAAGGGTAAGGTCCAATAACTCAAGAGGATTGCTAATTGCCGTACATGTCAGAGTGGACGGGTACACGCTATAACGGCGCTTTCAAATTAGCCACTATTAATCGCGCTGCGGTCATGCACGGTTGCAGTCACAGTTAGTGAGGTGTGCACATGTTAATTTTTCAAGTTAACCACGATGTATGAAAATTGAATTGAAGAATTTATAGAGAATGTAAAACAACAGCCTGCAATATGGGATAGCAGTTCCGCCAGTTATTCCAATCGACTGGATAAAAAAAGGCATGGGAAAATGTATGTCTAAAATTCATTGAAAGTATAACTACAACCCAAACCCAAACTACAACTGATAAAAGCGTAACAGGTGAGTCATTTTTAATACCTATATGTGAGGTGTGTGCCCCAAGAACTAGGTAAAAGTAATGTTTCTTCGTCAGAATCCATCGCGTAACTGAGTCGAAAGATAAAAAAAAATCACCAAACCTTTGGTCGCACTTGCAGTGCTTCTAACAGCGGCTAATTTGAACGCGCCCTTATTGTAACTAATTTGTTTTGCAATGACAAGCTGCAATTTATCGAAGCTACTCTAATTTCTAGTGATAACAAACAAATCAACTAGATGGCGCTTATTGCACTGATTTTTATGGATAGTGCCGGTTATTCTTTTATTTTGCTTAGGATTAGCGCCATCTATCCATATTAGGAAGTGTTAATTTATACATATGTTTGTAACACACAATGCCATTGACACGCATATTCGTTAAAGTTCAGAAAATAATTATTGCTCATGAATAATAATAATAATCATTTTTATTTCAGACAACAAAAGTCCAGCTTCGTTAGTAACAATGCTATGAATTAAAATTATGTTAGTACTCAAAATTTCTAAATTACAATCAAAACAAAACTCAAATTAATAAATCCAAAAATATCAAAAAATAATAAATAATGCATGTCCAAATTTCCAAATAAATTAAATTACTAACTTCAACTTCAACTTTTGTATCTATGGCTCCGTCGTTTTGCGCGACGATTTCGCCAACGTCAGGGTTGCAAGACATGTAGAGCGGTGGTGAGATAGATTGCCGGTTATTAAAAAATAAAACTTTAAATGTCATACTTAAAACATAAATGTCATAAACGATTACAAATTACGCCTAACATGAGGCTTGTCGCAATGAGCGAGGTACGGGCAGTCGAGTGCAATGGTGTCGGAGCTGACAACGACTCTACGCGCCAGTGACGTGCAGCGCTTGCGCATCGTTATGTAGAAACAATCCACCCGCCGCTCCGCAAACATCTCTGACGCACTGCAGTAGCGAGGCAGCCCCTTCAGCACCCTGAACGCGCTGTTGTATTGCACACGCAAAGCGTTGTACTGTTTCTGAGTGTAGTTAACCCATAAGCTGCTTGTGTACAGAGACGTGCAGTACGCTTTGAGAAGTTTAATTTTCACCTCAGATGAACAGTGAACAAACCTGCGGGCTATCATGTTCATCGTCCTTAAGGTCCGGCGTTAACTTAACTACTTTTTTAAGCGAAGATCCTGATTACTAATCATTTAAGACATTACACTCACATTTATTTCTTTTAGGGTTAAATACCATTATGACGCTTTTATTTACATTATATATAAGACCGTGGCTCTCAGCGTACCTTTCACAAATGCTAACCATTCTGAGATACCACAAGCAGAACCACTCAGCAGCACCATATCGCCATCAATATGACAACCGACTCTGGTGCCGCTGATTTCCTCTATCAGTGTGTTAACGTACAAATTGAAAAGCTTGGGCGAGGTCAAACCCCTAGCCCCGCATTCCAACCTGTACGGCTCCGAGAATGATCCCGCCCATCTTACGATATTCATCTGGTTTAGGTACCAATATTGGATGACACCAAGAAGCTCAGGTGGCAAGTTGATATCCCTCAGCTTCTTCCACGAGATGTCATATGAAACAAGGTCAAATGCCTTGGATAGGTCTAGGAAGCATGCAAACACAGGCGTCTGTCGGTCGGTATAGTACCTGATCGTTCGTTTTAAGGCGAGGATCACAGTCTCCGTGGATAGTCCCGGTCTAAATCCAAACTGGTTATCGTGCACTTTAATGTATTTCTCAAGTTTTGAGTTGATCAAGCTATCGAGAACCTTCGCGACCACAGTAGCAAGCGAGATGGGGCGATTATTACTTTTATCACTCACATCACCAGTTTTTGAACCACCACTGTCTTCATCATGTCGGCAGGCAAGTATGAATGCCCCACACAAAATGTAAACAACATTGCCAGTACCCTTGGTATAGGCATAACGAAGATGTTACATTGAGCCCATTAAGACCAGGAGATTTGCCTTTAGACATGCCATTTATGGCGTTTTTTGTCTTTGGCCATAAAGCTCGTACCTAATTTCTGGCTTGACAATATAGTATCTCTGTCGGTGATCAGCTGTGACTGCCCCGACGGAGAACTAACAGCAAAGGTAAACTTAAACAAATCAGCTATAATAATACCCTTGTGGTCGCTAACACCCTCAATTCTTTCTGGGAGGCTAGGCTTGCCATTCAACCTATTAGTCGATCTCCAGAAGCCACGAAAATCCCGCACAGAATGGTGTGCCGCAATTATGGCCATATCTGCTCCTCGTGTTTTTGACACCATTTTAAACGCGACTTCCAATTTCCGTACATTCACATTTGTTTGAATAAACACCCTGTATTCGGCTTCGCATACCACATCCATGGCTGAAGTTTACACATTGTCACCCTGTGTGCCTCACTTACATGTTTGTTCCATCCAATTATAGGCCTTTTCGTTTTGTACATTTTAAATTTATGGCTACTAACAGCCGACTCGCTCAAAGCATTTATTATATCGGTATACAATTTATCAATTAATAATCTATGTTCTATATTATTACACTTACAGTTAGAACAGGTTCGAAAATCATCAGGAAAATCAATTTGTTTCAATCTCTTATGACATTCGTTACTATATAAACTGATTTGGTCGTCTTTACTTTCACCCCATATTATAGTATTAAGTGGAGTTTTTAACGTACAAGTAGTTTTTGGTTTGATCGAACAGAAGTCACACTCTACAATTAAAGGTAAATAATCGGACCACATAACATCATACATGACCCTTACATTAGTAATTGAACACATCCCCGACTTAGTGACCACACAGTGATCTAACCATCTTTTTGATCCATGCGCTTCACTTACAAACGTGTGAGTATTCGAATCTACGCCTAAACGTTCTGTATCCGCGCAAATCCATTCCAGCTTATGGCAGCAACTAATCAGTTCTCTATAAAACAGTTCACCTGGATGAGCGTTAAAGTCTCCTAAGATATAGACCGCTTCGGTATCATTATTACCAACAATAGCACTCACCAGGGCGAGCCAATCCGTGTACTCGGTAAATATATAATAAATAATGGTCGGAAAAAGGTGTTCCACATACATAGATTTATTTATTTATTTCATACAAACAAGGCAAAAAATAGAATATAACACAATTCCTCACCAAACTGCCAAAGCAGTTTGTACGACAATGACGAATACATTTAACAAAATAGACGTCGAATTTACTAAATTTACATGCTTTCAAGAAGTATAAATATTAATTTTTTCTTCAATGAGAATTTACTTTTAACAATGCTCTGCCTCTCAAAAAATCGAATTTATTAAATATAATTGGCAAGAGATGTCTATTTGTTCTTTTACCATAATAGTTAAAGAAGTAAAAGTGTATACTTTTGGACATACATATTTATTTTCACGGGCTCGCCTAGTGTTATACTTGTATACTTATACAGATGTAGCTACAAAGAGTGACACAAAGTTGTTAAAACCACCAAATTTAATCTAATAAATCTAATTTAATTCAATAAAGTCCTACGATGCAATAAAACCATTTCCGGAAATCTGGAATTCGAAAAAAGTAAAGAATTAAAATTTGGTGGATTTAAAAACTCTATGACATAGAGTTGTTAAAATGTTCAAACAAACCAACATTTCGGGTCCTTGACAGGTCCCATGGTAATGGTAACCGTGACCATGGGACCTGTAAACAAATATAAATACGATATGCGAGTCAAATCCAGAAAAAAATAGTTTTATTTCCTATGTGTAACAATCGCGAAAAAATACGACCTCGATTTATCTATACATGTTTGTAAATATTTGGAACGCCTTTTTCGACCATTACTCATGAGTCATGATCAATTTTTTAATAATATTCTACTATATAAAATATTAAAGAGGAATGACTTGATATCCATGGCCATTTACATAATATAAACTTCTTCCAGGCTACTGATCAGCGCCATCTAGATATTAGACGGAATTCTGAACTTTTAAGAGCTATTTAGAAAGGCCATGGTAGCCAAATGCTTTGACCTACTGCCTCTCAAGCAGAGGGTCGTGGGTTTGAATCCAGGCTCGCACCTCTGAGTTGAGCACCATGACCTTTTCAGTGAAGGAAAGCATCATGATGAAACCTGCACGTTGAAGAAGGTCTACAACCCTTGGAAAAAGTATGAAGTCCCCTACCTCCTTTGGGCCACAGTTACGGACTATGGCCTAAACCATTGTCTCAAAGGAGACCCATGCCCAGCATTGCAATGTACAATTCGTAACAGGGTTGATAATGACGATAAGAGCTATTTATATATTTGTGTTAAAATTTGTTTATATTTGCTAAACATCTTTTTGTTTATAATACCATGTGACAGGATGAACAAGTCGTGCACCTGGTGGTAAACAACACACCTATCTGTAACAGGTGTAGTGCCACTCAGAGCTATAAAAAGTAAAGATCTGAGGGGCTCTGCCACTGCGCCCATCACCCTGAGACATAAGTTGACAAGTCCCATGTGCCTGTAATTTCATCAGCACCATCCTTCAGTAACGCAGTAATGCTCACATTACGTAAGGTGGCAGTACTTCCCTGGAAAAACTCTTTCACAAGGTGCTCTACGTCAATTGTTAGATACTGACATTTCTGGGACAATTCTATTAGGACAAGGGATACGGACTGCAGCAATAAATATATGAAAATAAATTAGTATTTATACTAGGCCTCGATCTGATCTATTTGGACAGTAATAACAAGGCCATAATATTGTTTTCTACCAAGATTTGGGAGTTTCTAATACTCATTCTTCTTTTTCTTCTTTTAAATGCTGTGGCTCCATCGAAATAATCGATGATTTCGCCAATGTTCTTCTTCTTTATAATGTTACAACCCTATTGATACCATCGATAAATCCGCCAATGCCAAGTTAAGGAATGCAGGGAACTAACCTAAAAAAATCGTATATCATTCGCAATCAATATGTCGACATTCCCACACACGACTACAGCTCTGCCTCTGGAAGACTTTATGTCTCCATGTGGCAAGCCTAAGCTTTACAAGTTTAGTCAAGTCATTCATTCTTTGGCCACAGGTGTTTTACAAAGTTTCCTACTCACTTCAAGTCCAGTTACTGCTGTAAATATTCTCTTAGAGGCTTCTCCAATCTTCTCTAACTTGCCTTCAGTGTCCAGGCAGGCTCGACAAGCTTTTACGTCCCACATTTCGTAGTAACATCTGTAAAGTAACTTCGCTGTAACAATTTTTTTAAATCTCTGAGACTTATAGTAATGGCCCTTTCTTTGCAAAAATACATAGTTGTCGGGCACAGAAATCTAAAAAATGTCGAGTTTTTTCTGTATATACATAACTTACACAAAGTGCCTCCTTGATTATTCTAAGCTCCTTGAACATAAATTATAAAAATATCAATATATTTACATAATTATTGTTAACTTTACAAGTTTGTACATACACCATAACCTCAATTTAATGTTTACTCTTTGATCGAAAATAAAACAGTACGTACACAATATATTCTTATAAAGTGATGAAAATACAGTGAATAGCCATTTTAGGTTGTATTTTTGATTAGACGACGCGGGAAAACTGAATTTTACTAACCAAAAACAAGTCTTATTTTTATATCACAAACTACTAATTTTTATATTAAAAAGACGAGTCAAGGCGTAGATATACACAAATAATGACTTTCTTGATTATACAGTATGGCGTCCAAGCCACAAAATACAAGAATTCAAGCTCAGCTCATCAAAGAATAAAGGAGTAAAGTGAGATTAGTGAGAATAAAGTATTTGGGAAAACCTCACTTCACTTTTTATTTTTATGGCTCCATCAATATGAGAACTGATGATTTTGCCAATGTCACAGTTGAAAGAAAAAAAAACGAAACAAAAAAAAAAAATTTTCGCTAAGCTCTAATAGGACATTAACCGGTGTTGGTAAGTTGGACTACGGGAGTACTCAGTTGAGAATGTAAAACAAAACAGCAAAACAATATTTATAAATATATGTTATTTAAGTGGATAAATTTACATAGAGTAACAATATGGGGGGAGAACACTAAAGTTAAGAGGTTGTTTATGTTAACGGGGCGGGGGAATTTTGGAGAAAGTAAGTTATAAAGTGGAACAGCAATATTAGGACAATTGAAAAAAATGTGTTCCAAGGTACCGTCTTCTAGGCCGCACTCGCACAGAGAGTGATCTCGAACTCTGATTTTACGCAAAAATACAGGTGTGCAAACATGGCCTAAGCGCAAACGAATAATAGTGGAAGTGATGTTTTTAGGCAAATCGCGACGTTTAAAAAACCAGGGTTTAGTGGGTAGATTTGGTTGGAGATTACCATAGTGTCTACCAACAGTTTGTCGTGATTCCTGCCAAAGGGCCGACCAGGAGGCTAGCATTTGGGGTTTAGTCATGGCGAGCAGATCTCTGGGAAAGCACTTACAGTATTTGCACACGCCAATTCTTGTCGCATCCTTTGCAAAGGCGTCTACTGCTTCGTTGCCACTGATCCCAGTGTGACCGGGAATCCAGGCCAGAGTTACCTCAATTCCCGCACAATGACATCGGTACAGAGCTTCCTTAATTTGGAGGGTGATGGAGAAATTGTCTTTGGAATGAAACGGTAGCTTAATAATGTCTTGGAGGCAACTTAGTGAGTCTGAGAAAACCAAACATTTATTAATTTTATGGGACTCAATATATAAAATGGCTTCGAGTATTGCAATTGCCTCTCCCGAAAAGACCGAATTCAGATAGGGGGATTTAAAACTGAGTACGACATTGAACTTGGGGAACCAAACCGCGGCTCCCAAGTCGCCATGTTCGTGTAATTTTGAAGCGTCGGTAAAAACAGTAGTCCAGTCATGCCATTCTCTCTCAACTATATCGTTGAAGACTTGGTTTGCTCCAGGGGTATCTTTCATGATGCCAAAACTAAGATAGACTGTTGGGCGAAACGTTAAACATTTAAAATCAGTTTCAAACAACGGGTTCATATAATTTTGGTAAATAGGGAATGGGAGATTGGAAATTTTGTTAAAACTGTTGATAAGAAGGGGGGGTTTCTTGTGTGACCAATAATTGGAGGAAGGGATAATCTCCGACAGGGATTGCAATACGGGAAGCAAAGGGTGAGAAGAATATTGAAAGATCTTGAAGAGGAATCTATTAGCAAGGAATTGTCTACGTAGATGTAGAGGGGGCTCCAGACATTCGACTTGAAGAGCGTTTGTTGGTGAGGATTTCATGGTACCTGTGATTATTCTCAGGCATCTTGCCTGGATTCTGTCCATCTTAGCCAAGGCTATTTTGTTGCATGGTTCCAGAAGGAAGCCGCCATAATCAAAATGACTTCTAATGATTGCGTTGTACAGGAGCTTTTGGTTATACGGATGTGATCCCCAACGAACACCAGAAAGTGCACGTAGGACATTTATGCTTTTTTCAGCTTTTTGACAAATATAGTTGAGGTGATGGATGCCAGATAATTTTGAGTCCAGAATAATGCCTAAAAATTTTACTTTTTCCCTCAGTTCTATGATTTCCCCATTAACATGTATTTCAGTTTCAGGGAGGCGTCTCTTGCGGGAAAAAACGACAGCTGTGCTTTTGTTAGCTGAAAGAGAGAGGCCGTGATCGGTAAGCCAAGAGTCTAGGTAAAAAAGGGCAGAGTTGAGGCGTCTTTCAGTATCTGAAAAAGATTTGGAACAAGCGTACAGGGCGATATCGTCTGCATATTGCAAGATTTTGCAGAAGCAATTGACTGAAGTGCCGAGGTCAGACGTGTACAAGCTGAAAAGGAGAGGGCTAAGAACGGAACCTTGAGGCAAGCCGTTCCAGACCATACGGGAGGGGGTTGTGGAACCGTTAACACGCACTGCGATAGAGCGACCCATAAACATGTTGTAAATGACATTGATCATCTTCACAGGAATACACAGATTGAGCATCTTCTGCCAGAGTAGTGGAAGGTTCACGTTATCATAAGCTGATGTTATGTCTAAGAACACACCTATGACGTGTTTTCCCTCGGAGAGGGCTAGTCGAACATCTGATGAAAAAATGCTTAGGCTGTCCATAGTGCCCATGCCTTTTCGGAAGCCAAACTGGCTTCTGGGTAACAATCCCTTGCTCTCTACTATCCATTCCAGACGGTTTTTTATTAGGTGTTCCATGATTTTAGCTAAAACAGATGATAGGGCGATAGGTCGATACGAGTTTGCATTAGATGGGTCTTTCCCAGGTTTTATGATTGGAATGATAATTTGGGTTTTCCATGAAATAGGGACTATGCCAGATTCAAAAATTGTGTTTATAATATTCAAAAAAAAAATTTTGGTAGGATTAGAGGACCTGGTAATAAACGAATAGGGAATGCCGTCCGCACCCGGCGCCGAATCCCTTAAATGGTCCAAAGCACAGCTTAGTTCTTCTAAAGAGAAGGGGGCATTCATACTGTCAGGAGATGACAAGGGGGTGTTTATACCGGTAGGAGCTTCTGAAGGAACAAAAGGGGGGGATAATTTTGTAATAAAATCCACAAGCCAGGGTGTCGGGTCGTTAGACGAGGTGTTGTTGTGATCAGTCTGAGATCTGCGAAAGGATTTTATTCTCTTCCAGACTGTAGACGGGTGGGTGCGGGGTTCCAGAGATTCGCAGAATGCACGCCATCCTTGAAATTTCTTTTTGCTCAGAAATCTTCTCGTGTGAGCGGAAATCTTTTGGAAAGTTAAATAATTCTCAAAGGATAAGTCACATGTGAATTCAAGTTCTGCCCGATTTCTTTCCTTGACTGACGCAGAACATTCCGAATCCCACCACGGGGGAGAGGAAATTTTTCTATTTGCAGAGTTTTTTAATGGGATCGTTTCATCTGCGGCTGAAAGCAAACATGTGATGAACTCTGAATATATATGCAGAACTGTTGAGGGGGTTACTTGAACTGGTTGCATGTTTACAATTTTGCTGTTCAGGACCAAGGAGTAAATGTCCCAGTCTGCCTGCCTAAGCCTGTATTTAAGTAAGGGAGGGGGGTCTGGTGTGAGGATAGGTGAGGAGTCTCCTACTGAAATTAATATAGGAAGGTGATCGCTACCAAAGGAATTTAACAGAACAAGCCAGGAGGTGGAAGGGGCTAAACTAGGAGAGACTAAGGTTAGGTCAGGCGCGCTGGTATTTTGAAGGGGGGAAGTTCTGCGTGTAGGAGAGCCATCATTAACTATACATAAATTTGTGTTGTCCAGAAGATCGAGAAAAGCAGAGGATAAAGAGTCGCAGATGTGAGATCCCCACAGCGAGTGGCGTATATTGAAATCTCCTAAAACAATTAGGGGGGAAGGGAGGGATGAGAGGATCACGGATAGTTCTATGATGAGGTCAAGGCTAGGATGGGGAATGTAGACAGAGACAAATGATTTGTTTTGTGCTCTAATAGCGACAACATGGAGGCCTGTGGAGTGTGTGGGGATGGAGAGTTGTGTATATATGATGTTCCTTTTCACTAGTAGGGCACATCCAGCCCACCCATCACTTCTGTCATCCCGAAGGCATGCATAGCCAGGAACTCTGAATAGGGCTCCCGGTTTTAACCATGTCTCGGAAATACCAAAAACTACGGGGTGATATTTATTTATCAGAAAAATAAGTTCGTGTTTTTTATTTTTTATATTACGGGCGTTCCATTGTAGAATTGATGTCATTGTTGGATAAAAGAGATTGTAATAGTTTTGAGATCATACTTTGAATAATTTCAAGGCCATTGTACGGTAAGATGTCATTAAATTTGGAAAGTACATTTATAATTAAATTAGTTATAATATCTGACAGGTTGTCATTTGGACTAGTAGAACAAGGGTTATTATTATTTGAGTGGTCTCTAAGGAGAGAACACCCATTAGATTGCAAAGATTTTGGTGTAGATGTTATGAGGTTATGTGAGTATCTATCGTATCCTTGTGTTTGTTCTTGACTGTGGCGGCTTTCTGAAAAAGTTGTCTTGCGATAAGATGTGGAAGGAATCTGGGACTGTGGGCGGGCAGGGGTACAGGGAGGAGACCTAACTGTTTGAGAGGGGTGGGGAGAGGGGGGAGTCTGCGGGTGCTGGGAAGGAGATGTCATGTCAGCATATGATTTCCGGACAGAACTGAATCGTCTGGAAGCTTCTATGTAACCAATATTGTCTTCAGCCATCACTTTTTTAATTAACTTTTGACGGGCATGCTCAGGGCACCTTGAATCTGTAGCTTTATGGAAGGCAGAACAGAGAAGACAAGACACAGCATCATCTGGAACGGTGCAGGAGGACCCATCATGATTCTGGGCGCATCTGGAGCAACGCGGATTAGAACGGCATTGTTCACGAACATGTCCAAAGCGGCAGCATTTGTGACATTGAATGATGGGTAGAGCATATAGGTCCACTGGGAGAGACATATTAAAACAAAATACTTTCTCGGGGAGGATCTGTCCCAGAAATGTCAACACTACAGTGGCAGATGGCTCCCAAGTGGCTTGTCCTTCAATTATACGCTTTTTATTTAGCCTCCTAGCCTTTATAACTTTAACCTTTGGGGGGCATTTGATGGAGTGAACCAATTCCTCGAGGGACCATTCCAAGGGGATCTGGCGAACAACACCATTGCGAGTGAGGTGAAAGCGGGGGATAACAGCAAAAAGTTTTTTATTGTTAA